GCTTGGTAACCTGCTAGACAGAGACATAGAAGGGGCACTGAAGTTGGGAGAGAAGGTGTTGAATGTAGGTTTGGACACAGAAGTTCATGAGGGAGGGGGCCATCCAAGAAGAGATGCCTGGGAAAGTAGTTTAATTCTCTGGACCTCAGAGCCCAGGGGAAACATCGGGGCTGGACACCTACATCCGGGCATCTCGGTCATAGAGAAGCAGTAAGAATGAGCGAAAATCGCCAACGCTGCTCTGTCTGTGGAGACACGTGAACACCCTCACCTTACACAACAGGAGAGAAAGGGAGGCCTAAGGACGTGCTGTGCTGCACCCGGTCATCCAGGTGGCCAGGCTTTTCCTTGCATGAAAACTCCTTCCCTTCAGATCTTTCAAAGTGTAGAACAAGGCTATAGCCACAGCAAGGTGGTGATGATGATGATGATAGCAATGATAACAATAGCAAACAGCACCACAGCACTTACCCAGTAAGGACCCTGCTTTAAACCTCTACATATTAACCAGACTCGCCTGCACAACCATCCTCCGAGTGGAGGCTGCTACTGCCGTTGTGAAGGGGAGGAGACAGGGACACAGTGTTATTTGGAGTTTGCCCACGTCCCTAGAGCTGGTAACAGGCGGGAGGTGACCCTGCCAGTCCGCCTTCAGAATCTGCTCACCTGTGAACTCTGCCCCCGCTGTGTGAGCAGCCACTTGGAGGCTGGAGGAGTATCCTGGGGCCGACGAAACCAAGTATGAGTGGGTGGCTGAAATAACAGAAGTGGATTGTCTCACAGTTCGAGTCTGGACATCTGAAGTCAAGGTGTCAGCAGGGTTGGTTCCTTTAAAAAGTATTTTTATTCGTTTCAGAGAGGAAGGGAGAGAGAGATAGAAACATCAAAGATGAGAGAGAATCATTGGTCGCTGCCTCCTGCACACCCGCTACTGGGGATCGAGCCTGAGATCTGGGCCTGTGCCCTGAACTGGAATCAAACCTCAATTTCCTGGTTCATAGGTCGACGCTCAACCACTGAGCCACACCGGCTGGGCAGGGTTGGTTCCTTTTTTTTAAAAATATATGTTATTGATTTTTTACAGAGAGGAAGGGAGAGAGATAGAGAATTAGAAACATCGATGAGAGAGAAACATCAATCAGCTGCCTCCTGCACACCTCCTACTGGGGATGTGCCTGCAACCAAGGTACATGCCCTTGACCGGAATCGAACCTGAGACCTTTCGGTCTGCAGGCCGACGCTCTATCCACCGAGCCAAACCGGCTATGGCAGGGTTGGTTCCTTTTGAGGGCCGTGAGAGAGCATCTGTTCCAGGTTCCTCACCCCCTCCACCCCCACTTCCCCAACACCACTTCTCATGGTTGCTGGCCATCCTTGGCATTCCTTGGCTTGTAGACGCATTGCCCTGATGTCTGCCTTCGTCTTCACGTGATATTCTCCCTGTGTGCTCGTCTGTGTCCAAATTTCCTTTCTTAAAAATAAGGACACTAGTCATATCAGAGTAGGGCCCATTCTATATCCAATCTGACCTCACCTGAACTAAATGGTATCTTCTATACTCTCTTCCCAAATAAGGTCACATTCTGAAGTACTGGGAGTTAGTACTTTAACATGAATTTGGGGGTGGGAGGGGGAGACACAATTCAGCCTGTAAGAGGTGGTGTCCCTGTGAGCTGTGAAAGGCCATTCAGAACCCAGCTGTGCTCAGCATGAGAGGCACTGTGTCCTGCAGGGACTGACCCCCGTGCAATCCCACACAGGCTCACCCCGACCTTAGGCCCTTATCTCTGTCTCCAGCTCAGATGCCCTAGGGGCCAGGTGGCCAACAGAAATGAAAGCATGAGTGAACACAGGTCAGGGAGAAGACGGAGCGGAGGGGCCAGACGGCCGCCCCCGTCCGCGGGGAGCAGCGGTATCTGTGCCAGCTGGTGTTGCCAACAGGCCTGGGGACTGGGGCTGCCAGGTCTGTGACCTGCTTCTGGTGCGCCTCAGTGCATCTGAGAGTCAAGGACACAGAAATTGGTGTCCCTTTGATTTTTAAGTCAAGGTAAATTTATTTCAGCTTCTGAAGCGGAAAGGAACTTAGGTTAGTTTCCAGCAAGACTCTATGAGAAGAGGAAGCTGGAATTCAGCCAGCTTGCTCCTCTCCCTCCAGCTTATTATTTTGAAAATTTAAAAAAAACAACCCAGAAAAGTTGCAAGAACAGGATGGCGAATACCTAGATACAACAAATGTTTACATTTTGTCACACTTCTTTCTTTCTCCGCTTTTCTTGTTTTTCTTTCTTTCTTTTTCTTTTTTTGCTGAATGATTTGAGTTAGTTGGAGACTTTATGACACTTCACCCCTAAATACCTCAGCATATGGTTCATGAGAACATGGCCCGTGTGTATATCCCCAATGCAGGGGGTAGTCAGGAAATTGAACATTGATATAGTACTACTATACAATGTACGGTCCATATTTGAATTTACCCACTTACCCTTTATAGCTATTCCCCCACAAACCAATTTCCAGTCAAAGGCCAAGCATTGACGGTCAGATATTCTTAAGTCTCCTTTCATCTTCAACCGTTCACCCACCTTTTCTGTCTTTCCTGATATAAACATTTTTGAAAGGTGATTTTTGCAAGATGCCCTTGCATAGATTTGTCAGAGTTTTCTCCAGCACACTTTGATTGAGGCTGAACATTTTTGTCAAGACGTGGGTGAAGTTAGTGGGCACACGAGGCCCATTTTCTCTCTTCTTGATTGTGAGTTTGATCATTTGGTTAAGGTGGAGAACCCGGAGTTCTTCATTGCAAAGGTGCCTTTGCCTTTATAATGAACACACAATCTGGGAGACTGTGAATTTCTTGTTTCTCAGTATTTTTTACCCGATAGCGTTTGCGTTCACTGATAGGTCTCTGCCTGAAGCCATTATTGGTTGGTGGCTATGAAAGAGCGATTTTCCGGTTCCCTCATTTTTCTGTATTCATGAGTTGGCATTCCTCTGTAAAGAAAAGACTTTCCTGCCCCTTCCTTCCTTTTCCTAAACACAGCTTTAGTGCAGACTCATTTTTACTCATGACATTGTAATTTTGCTTCTAAATTATTTACTTTGATGCTCAGCTTGGCTCTGGCGTCCTTCTGACGCGTCCCTATTCGATTTTGAGCACTTGGCTCCGTAGGATGTTCAACTCCCACCGCCTTCCCCTGTCCTAGCCCCAACCCTCCATGTCTCTGGCCAGCCACCCTGCTTGCTTTAAGCTCTTTAAATCTGATATAGAGTGGCCCGGGCTTTGCATAGGCAGATTGAAAAAAAGGTCCATCAGCACCAAACGGAATGAAATTGACTGTTTAAACTGCACATCTTTTTTTAAAAATATATTTTATTGATTTTTTTTACAGAGAGGGAGAGGGATAGAGAGTTAGAAACATCTATCAACTGCCTCCTGCACATGTCCTACTGGGGATGTGCCTGCAACCCAAGAGTATCGAACCTTGAGTTCCGGAATCGAACCTGGGACCTTTCAGTCCTCAGGCTGACGCTCTATCCACTGAGCCAAACCAGTGCTGGCTAAACTACACATCTTAAAAAAGAAATAATGCAGCCAGCAGCTCTGGGCTGATGGATGATGCCCATGGACATGGATTAGGGAGCTGAGTTGCCTGCAAAGGTATTCTGTTGGAGCGGAGGGCGAGGGGCAGTCAGCTCCCCGCACAGGCCTTAGTCCAGCTAAATCCTTCCTAGACCAGGACGAGGGCAGTGGGGAGCCTCAGTTAGGGCAGCTGGAGTCCCTTCTGCCTCACAGAGGGGCGCAGTGGGGGCCTCGCCATGAGTCTTACTTTATTGGGCTCGTTTGGAAAAGGGTAATTTGTTTCTAAATTATTCATCAGGTTCCAGAGCAGCTGGTGGCTGGCCGCGTGGTGTGTGTGTTTTATGTAAATTTTAGTGGCTGGGGGAGCTGGCGACGAGAAGGCTCCAGGAGCCCCCCAAGTTCCCGGCCAGTCCAGAAGGGACCCGTCCGGCTTCTTCAGGAGTCGGACCTGCATCAGCCCGGACACCCGTGTCCTAAAAATGCCAGGAATTTGTGTTCATTTCCAGAACGATGCCTGTGAAGGCTGCCAATGGCAGTTCAGGAAGCTGAATTCTTCCAGGCAAAAGCTGTAGGAAGCACACATTGATTCTTTTAAAGGAAAGGGCTAATGCCAATGTTTTCTAAAAATCGATTTTCTCGATTTCAGAAGCAATGTGAGCTCCAAGCACCCCAGACACGTGCAACCGAGAGCCCTCTCGTGCCCGCCTGGAGAGAAGCCCCGACAGCCCCGTCTGCCCACTGGGTGGCTTTCTCCTACTTTAATGCGTGGGCTGTGAGATGTAACAAAGCCATCTTTGCAGGACACACGAGCATCTTGTAGAATGGGGTGGCTCCTGGTGATCACTTTAGCCTTGTGAAGAGTGGCAATTGCAAGGGCAGAGGAGAGTGGCTGGAGGGTCAGGCCTCAGTCGTACGTGGCTCTGGCACTGGCTGTGTGACTGGACAAGTCACCGACCTGTGGGCGCAGTTGTCCCGCCTGTAAACCGAGCGGGAAAAGAACAGGGCAGACGCTCTCTCTGCTGCTGCCTGTCAGTCTCGGGGGAGCTTCAACACAGAAGGACCCGCCCCGCAGGCTCTGATTTCATTGGTCTGCATGAAGCCTGGGAACTGGCATTTAATAAAAGCTCCCAAATGACTTCACTAGGCAGTCGGGGTTGGGGACCACTGAACTGGAAAAATCTCAAAATTTAAAGCTGATTTTTAAAACGAATACACTGACAATGGACTAAAAGAAAGATAAATATCCTATATTGATAAATCAAACGTCATGACCCGGATTGGGACCCGAGACAGCCTGGACTCAGAGCCAGCTGGCCTGCTCACTCGCTCTGTGACTCTGGGCAGGTCATTCGACTTCTCTGTGCTTCAGTTTTCTCGTCTGTGAAACGGAGCCCATGAGACCTGCCTATGGGTTGCTGTTGGTGTGAGGAGTAAGTGGGTCAGCGCCCACGGGACAGTCCCTGCCTCAGAGCCACAGGACGGCAGGGAGGGGTTGTCATCATCGCTCTCACGGATGCAGAGACCTCCCGGGCCCTCCCGGGTCCCTTCTGGCCTGCACGTGCTGCGGGTGACATTTGCGTCAATCCAGTTGGTTTAGAGAAGCTGAACGCGCCCTTTTGGAGCCTGAGCGTTTCTGTGAGAGCGTCTGGGAGGTGCTGTTTTCCTTTGCTCCACAGATGGGAAAAGGACAGCCTCCCCGCCGAGGCTGGTCGCACCGTAAATTCAGCAGCGCAGCCCTAAGGTGCGGAAGCCGGGGGAAGGGATGTAGGAGGAAGGCAAGCCGTGTGGACGTGGAGATCATCTCTCTCAGCCACGTTGCTGGGTCTCGCAGGTATAGTTCCTCATCCTCTCAGCAGGGCCCAGGCCGCCTCACCCGAGCCATCACGCCCACCCTTCACTAGAGGCCCTTGTCAGGGCGGTGTCCGCCCAGACACCCTGTTTCCTGTGAGACCCGGGCTATATCGTCCCCAGGAGGGGTGGTCCGTATTGGACAGCTGTGGGGGAGAGTGGACACGCGCGAGTCCATCCCCTGGTCTGAGTGCCCTTGACCGCTGTACCCAGTCTCTTTGTCCCACACGATTCATCTGCAAGGCAAGGGGGCTGGATTAAGGATGAGCTCATTCCAAGATTCTGTGTTTTGGGGCCACTGTCACCATGTTTGATTTATCAAGATAGGACTGCTATTTATTTTTCTTTTAATCCACTGTCAGTGTATTCATTTAAAAATTAGCTTCCTACTAAAAATTCCATGCTGTTTGGGCATATGTGTATGCAGATCGGTATACATATATTTGTCACATCTGATAAATTAAAAATTATTATGCTATATAATAAAAGGCTAATATGCAAATCAACCAAACGGTAGAACGACTAGTCCCCATGACACCCACTGACCACCAGGGGGCAGGCGCTCAACGAAGGAGCTGCCCCCTGGTGGTCAGTGCACTCCCACAGGGGGAATGCCGCTCAGCCAGAAGCCGGTGGTGGGAGCCTCTCTGCCTCCATGGCAGTCGGATATCCCTCGAGGGCTCCCGGACTGCGAGGAATTTTGTGTACAAATTTCGTGCACCAGGCCTCTAGTTAAAATACGAAGGGTTCTTCTGCGAAGCTCTCGTCCAAATTACACCTCTTCCCGGCACACACGCCACGCCCTTCTTTGGGCTCCATGCAGCAGAGGGAGAGCGCCAGTCTCTGCCAGGTGTTCAGCTCAGGGCTGGTTGACTCCAAAGGAGTGTGGTCACAAAACGGAGTGAAGGCATGAGCCGTGGGCACCAGCTGCTGCTCTAGTGACACTTTGGGGCTTTTAGGGGCGTGCAGGCGTCACTTAGCTGAACCTGGTGGTTGAATGAAGGGACAAGGGTGTGCATGAGGTCACAATACCGCCCACTCTGTCCCGCGATTTGGTCATCAACCCCTGCAAGGTGGCCCTTCCCTTTCTTTCAACAGGTCCTCCCTGAGGGTGAGCCATCTCTGTGCTAGGTGGTGTCAGGACAAAGGTGGCCGTGTCCAGGCCGGTTGGCAGCAGCTGGGCACCCTGACAGTTTTCTCCAGCAGGGAGCACTCCGGTGAGGCAACCGTGTGGTGACTGTTTCCAGGGTGAATTGGAAGCCTGTCTTTTGAATCTTCAGCCAGACCTTCGTGTTTAACCGCAGCTGCCTCCCTTGCTATGAAAACTCCTCATATGGTCCCACTTCAGTGTGTAAGCAGTCTCCATCGGACTGAACTGAGGATGGCCACAGCTGTCTCGCACAAGCGCGTCATCCCTGAGTGTCCTCAGCATCTCATGAGCATCTCTTGAGTCTCTGAATAGCCTGGTGGGAGCAGGACCTGTTATAGACGATGAACCAGAGGCCAAAGGGAGCTCAGTGGTCCCACTGACACAAGGCCCAGAGACCACCCTATGAAAGCTTCATTGATTTATTTAAAAAAATATATTTTATTGGTTTCAGAGAGGAAGGGAGAGGGAGAGAGAGAGAGAAACATTAATAACAAGAGAGAATCAGTACTCGGCTGCCTCCTGCACACTCCTACTGGGGATCGAGCCTGAAACCCGGGTATGTGCCCTGACCGGGAATTGAACTGTGACCTTCTGGTTCATAGGTCGATGCCCAACCACTGAACAACACTGGCAGGGCGAAGCTTCATTTATTTAAAAGCAAACCCAGTCTTCCTTCATCGGAAGTCTGTTGCTTTAATATTTTCTAATGACGACTAGGAGCTAATGAAATGGCATGCCTTTACACTGAGCTACCCCTAGGCACTCAGGGAGGAGCGGCAGCCTTCACTGAACCACAGTTCACATTTAAACAGAGGAACCTCAGAGTGGTTTGCCTGCACTGGGTTCCCCTAGGGAAGTGGTCTAGGCTCTTTGGCGCATCGGTGCAGTTCCCGCAGCGTGGCGCTAGGGGGCGCTGTCCAACAGAACTTTCCTGGATGGAGGCCATTGTTCTGGGTCTGTGGCACTGGAGCCCTTGCAATGTGGCCAGTGGGACTGAGGCGCTGAGCATTGAATTGTGTATAATTTTAATTAATTTAAATTTGAATGTAGAGAGCCACAGGATGTGTGTTGGAGAGCTCTAAGGCAGCGGTTCTCAACCTGTGGGTCGCGACCCCTTTGGGGGTCGACTGACCCTTTTACAGGGATCGCCTAAGACCATCGGAAAACACATATATAATTACATATTGTTTTTGTGATTCATCACTATGCTTTAATTATGTTCAATTTGTAACAATGAAATTGGGGGTCACCACAACATGAGGAACTGTATTAAAGGGTCGCCGCATTAGGAAGGTTGAGAACCACTGCTCTAAGGCGTGGCTGTAACAAATCAAATTGGCTTTTCTTCTCTCCTTCCTTCTCTTTCCACCCCCTTTCATTTCCTGCTCACCCTGGCCCCCCCACCCCCCCCCGCCTTTCTCTCCCCCACTCCACCAGGGCTGCCCCCAGCCTTTCTCTCCCCCACTCCACCAGGGCTGTCCCCCAGCCTTTCTCTCCCCCACTCCAGGAGGACTGGACAAAATAGGAGGGCGGAGAGGACTAAGGAAGGTGGCCCTGAAAAGCCGAGGAAAGAGCAGTTGCTACATGGGAAGTGAATTCCTGGGTGGGGACTGGGTGGCCCTGGAGTGAAGGCTTGGCACCGAGTACCTTCCCGAGTGACCCTTCCTCTATCCGTCCTCGTTTCCTGTGGACGCTGAGCTCTCGGCAGGTGGGGACACGGAAGCGAGAACCAAAGGTCCATCTCTGGTCTTGTCCAGCAGTAGCTGCTCACCAAGCATTTATTTTTAATATTTCTTAAGATTTGTATTGATTTCAGAGAGGAAGGGAGAGGGAGAGAGAGAGAGAAACATCAATGATGAGAGAGAATCATTGATGGACTGCCTCCTGCATGCCCCACACTGGGGACTGAGGCCACAACCCGAGCATGTGCCCTGACCGGGAATGGAACCGTGACCTCCTGGTTCATAGGTCGATGCTCAACCACTGAGCCACACCTGCCGGGCTCACTAAATATTTCTTGACTAAATAAAGGCGGTCGGAGCAGGAGGATCATTCTTCCAATCGGGTGCTGTTGTCCAGCGCAATCTCACCTATGTCTCCGCGTGGGAGAGGTGCTCAGTGTTACTAAGCAGGTGTCCATTGGCGGCAGCAGGATTGTAGCCAAAGATGCTGTCAAGGGCTTGATAACTCGCACTCACAAGGGAAGTGCCCATGGCATCTCAGGGCAGCGGGCAGGGTGGCTGTCACAGTACTGGAAACGTAACCAAGCATCCAGTGTGGCAGAACCAGGGTGTCATGCCCAGACGGGCCAGCATCACTAAATGTGTGTTTTTCTCTCTTTCTAGGTGCCTCGTTGCCTACCTGGGCCCTGGCCCTACTTGTAGTGTCATTCTTGTTGCTTTTCATCCTGATCATTTTTCTGATTGTAATCTTCTACTTCTGTGTCTCCCGGAGAGAGAAAACAGGTAACTTCTTTGTTCCTATGGATTTGTACATATTTTTAACTCTTGGTACCTACAATTGAAGTTCATGAGCGCCTCAGCTCTTCCCCAAAGTACACTGGCTTTTGGAGCTGTGAAAGGAGCTGTGTGAAATCGGCAGCGGGGGACGCACGTTCTTAAGGAAGGAAGCCATTCCTTGGGGGCCGGGTGCATGGGGACAGGTCTTCCCATCTTTGCGAAGGTGATGAGGTGGCACCTTTCTCACCAAAGACACTGACTGATTTGTGTGCGTATCTGCAAGGATATAAGGCTACTGTGCTGTGTCATTTTTTAAAAAAAAATCTAGAATAATACCTACCTATCCCAGCACTGATTAGTCCTAAATTGTCTTTTTTGTAGAATTCCAAGTCTTCCTTTGTAGGTGAATGTTGACATAGTGGTAGAAAGAACAATCAAAAGGCCTCCTGTTAACTGAAATAGTACAAATAAAACTAATGAAAATCATTACACATTTCTTCTGAGTGGGGTCTTCAGAGCTACCCCAAGATCCATGGAAGCAGTGGCCTTGTTTGGGGGTCGGACTCCACACTGGGGTGGGCTTGTGACGTCAGAAATCACAGAGCCTTTGGCATGCGGACGGCTCAGGACTTTCCAAGTGCTCAATGGGTCTCCATCCTTATCCTTGTCTCCAAAAACCTTCACCTACTTTTATTTGAGTATTTTCTACAATTAAGTCATTTTTCTTTCTTTCTTTTATTTTGTAATATATTTATTTTTGTCGATAGTATTACAGATATTTCCCATTTCCCCCTCCTCTACCCAGCAGCCCCTACCCACACCCCCAGGTCTTCAGTACCCTATTGCCCATGTCCACGGGCCATGCATGTACATCCCTTCTCGTTCCCCCAACCCCACAGTGAGAAAGTCATTTTTCTTAAAATCAGAATTTTGATGTTAGGCTCCATGTTGGTTTAATTGCGTTTTTAATTTTATGAACACTGCCCGCCATTCGGCGAGTGCTTTTTGGGGGTGTGCCAGGCACCGTGATAGTCCATAAAGAGCGTGGTCCAGCCTTAGCCTCACGGTCTAGCCTTCGCTCTCGCCTGGAGTTGGTTTGTGATTGGGGCATTGACTTTGTGATGTAACTTTATTCCCGAGGAAACAAAGTGAAAATTCCTGAACTCCCGTTGGCCCAGTTTGGATGGGAGCTTGTTTTTACCTGGGAGTCACAGAGGGACAAGTCAAATAAAATAGACTGGGATTTAAATGGAAGCTACGGGGGGACTTGCCCTTTAATTCAGAGCTCACCAGGGTTATTCAGTGCTGTGGGACGGCTCCTCCCCCCACCAGCCGTGGCAGAGTCACAGAACATCCTGGTTGCTTTGATCCTGCTTCCTACAGTCTTTTTTCTGCTCCCCGCCACCCTAGGAAGAAGGTTTGGGGTGCTGGTGGCCCCCAGAGCATATGCAGAACCACGATTCTCTGGCTCTTAGCTTCCTCATTTGCAAAATGGGAATAAGTCTTATCCTACAGGGTAGTTGTGAGAATCAAAGAAACGAACATATTACACGTTTCTGTGATTCATCCTGGAATTTATCTTTTATTTGACTCTGAGATGATAAACCCGTGTAAGAGTGAGATGTTCCTATTCCCCTGGGAGCTGAGGGCCTGTGACAACCTCCTCACCAGGCCCGCCCGCTCGGGTGTAACTCACCAGGGACACGACGCCTCACCTGGATGTAGACGTAAGGGATCCAGCCGAGTCCTGGACTTCCCGTGGCAGTCATTTCCGCGCTTGCAAATAGTAAACATCACGTTTTCTTAAAAGTATTTCTGGCGTTCTGCTTGGCCGGTGCCTGGAGAACTCTCAGTTCTGACTGGTTCCCTGGGGGCTGACTGAGGACCACACTCAGCTGGCCTGGAGGCGTGTGGTCACAGCCTCTAGCAGAGGGGCTGAGTGCCGGGTGCCCCGGGAACGCCAGCGGTGCTCCCTCAGGACCAGGCCACCTCTCTCCTTCAAACACGATTGCTTCTGAGGTTCAGTGTGGGCTGTGAATCAGCAGGTGTTGTTAGAACTGAAAAAAAGTGAGAACATCATCTAAACAATAAGGCAAATGAATGCTTTTAGATCTCCTGAAGCGTCCTGAATAGAAGGTGGAGGCAGGGAAGCAGAGCTGTGGAGGACACGGGCCTCAGAGACCGACGGTGGGGGCTGGTGTGTGGCCCTGTCACTTCCCATTTTCAAGTTCTTGATTTCCTCCCGCCCAGAAGCCCATTGAGTAAACACATTAGCAATTTAAACAGCCTTTTTTTGGGGGAGGGACAAACACAACTGTATGAATTGATACCATTGATACATATTAATTGAAACCATTTCTTAGATCTACAGAAATACAGTGCTTAAGCAGTATAATGCCTTCTCTGCTAAAAATATGGTAATGCTAATATAGTGATGTCTAGTCTGTTAAAAATATGATTGCATTAACACCTACTTCTTACGTTGTTGTGATGATTAGATGAGACAATGCCTTGCACAGGCTGGCAGTGTGCGGGCACCCATTGGGTCCTGCGTGAATGGCAGCAGGCGTGGAACGCAGGGCAGCCCTGCCTGCAGGCCCAACGCTGTCTTTATCATCTTGCTAGTCAACTGCAATAGTCACTAAGCACTTAGTAGGTCCCTGCCATGTTTCAGGCACTCAGGGGTTATTAATATTTATGATCGCGAGGAATGAGTTCTACTTTCCTTATGCGTAGAAGCCATTTGATCATTCTGGGTTGGGGAACTTAAGACCTACTGGGTCACCTGTTCAGTAATGTGTTAAAATCAGGGGAGTCTATAAAAAGTGATGAGATTTTATTTTCAGAATTACTGTCCTGATTTTGCTAATATAATTTCATGGTTTTTTTTGTTTGTTTTCAGAATCCAGTTCTCTAAGGTAAGTTTGAAATAACATCTACTTTCTTAAAACAAAACCAAATGAAAAACAACCGAACAGCAACACCACACACTCAAACACACACACACACACACACACACACACACACCCACACACACACACACACCCACACTCCGCGTAACTGAAGGATTTTAGGACTCTGCTATTCAAAAGTAAGTACTGAAAACGGACAACTCTGACAAGCCCCCATGCCACCATAGACGCCAATGGCGACATGAAGGGTGGAATGCACCAGGTGGGTTGCGTGCGGTCCGCTTTTCCTGGCTCTCAGGAGATTGGAGGTTTTCTGCTTGGTGTCTGGCATTTGCAGCTCTTTCCACAAGAGGACACTGTGCACCATGACTCTTGTCCCTCCTGCTTTGAGCCAAGGCTCGGGACTCGAGGACCGTCGCAAGGATGTTGGACAGCCAGGCTGAGGTCTCGCGGGGTGGGTCAGGGCACATGAACCTGGCCAGGCAGACATCACAGTAGGTTCACTGCTGTATGTTGGAGAGGGCGGGGACTGGAAAGGTCCTGCCCTTCCTGCAGTGGCCGGAGGAGCTGCGAGCACTGTGAAGGCAGCCGTCCTGTGGGACTCGGTGGCAGAGATGTACTGCTGTCTGCTTCACTAGGCGCCTATGGGTGGCCACCTGTGCTGTTTGCAGTTCTTGCCACTGTGACTGGCTCACGAGTGAGCATGCTTTCAAGTAAACCTTGGCATGTATCCTACACTATTTCCCTATAATAAATTCTGACTGGTCAAGCATGACTATTTACAAATCTTTGGATTTCCATTGCCCAACTTCCTGTCCCCTGGAAGCGGCACCGATTTCTGCTCTATTTTAGAGGCTGCTTTTTGCTTTATTTTAGAGGCTGCCTTTTTATTTTAGAGGCTGCATGCTTTTCCTATAAAGAGTCAGGGAGTAAGTACTTCTGCTTATGTAGGCCGCATGCTCTCTATCACAGCTACTCAACTCTGCTGTTGTAATATGAAAGCAGCTGTAGACAGAAGGTAAGCAGACAGATATGATGTGGCGTGTTTTAATAAAACCTTATTTATAAACACAGGTGGTGGGCCAGATTTGGCCTGAGGGTTGTAGCTTGCCAACCTGCTTTATTTGGTCACTGGTATCTGAGGGTTGAGAACTGACTTGGGAGTGGGGTCCATGGGCCCCGTGTGGGTGGCTGTGAGTGTCCATGCTGAGGCTCACCACCCCAGAGCCAGGGCTGAGCTGCGGCTTGTGCTAAGTTCAGTGTGTGAGAATGCTCTGGGCGGAGCAGTGCGAACTAAACATCCATCGCTGACTAACGTTTGTTTTTTTTAAATGGTCTAATTCTAGGAAAGCTGCAGATGTGGAGACAAACCAAGAAACTTTTGAGCCAAAGTTAAAAGGTGGAAATGAGAACTATGGCTACAATGCAGGTGAGCCGAGAACCGTGCGAGAGGGCGGGGAGGATGTCCACAGATGCAACCCGAGTCTGAAGTCTTTTTGAGCATCTCGATATCTTGCCTTGAGAGGATACACTCCCAGTGGGGCCACTTCCCGGAAAGCAAGGTCACTAATAAGAGGCGGGCGTAGGATTTGAACCCAGATCCTTTTGTAAGGCAGACAAATTTCTCCTTAGCAGTTGGGGAGGGAGGCCTGGCCCTAAAAAGTTGTCTGGCAAAATAAATTCCACAGAAAGATTTTAAGTTCATCAAGTCTTGCTGAGAGGCCTGAGAAAACATCCCCTCCCCTAACAACGCCGCCCCCCCCGTCCCCCCCGCCCGACTAAAATTTGGACTTAATTCTCAGCAGCCCCATTCTTTTCTTTCTGCCGAGGCTGCCTCCCATGGACATTCCGAATGGCCTGCTTTGGATGTTAAAGACCTCCACAAAGCATTGACTATGTCCTTTGATAATCTGACCCCAGCTTCTTGCAGTATTTCCTGTGGGAGAATATTCATTCATCAGTATTTTGCGCCATGAATCTAGTAGCTTGACTAGGATCATGGCCCAGACCAACCCTCTCGCTTCGTTTCCCCACCTGCCCTGTGTTTGTTTGTTTTCCTCGGTCAGCAGTTAAGGCTGTGGGTTCATCTTGCCCCTGGATGACACGAGTATGGCGAGAGAGGAATTGATTTTGAGCCTGTTTGCCATATTTTTATTTCCTTAGAAAACTTAAGTTCTAAAAGGATGTGACCTCCAGGGAACTTTAAAAACAGTCTGTGGCCGTAGCTGGTTTGGCTCAGGGACTAGAGCATCAGCCTGTGGACTGAAGGGTCCCGGGTTTGATTCCGGTCAAGGGCACGTACCTCAGTTGCAGGCTTGATCCCCAGCCCTGGTCGGGGTGTGTGCAGGAGGCAACCGATCGATGTGTCTCTCTCATAGGGATGTTTCTCTGTCTCTCCCCCTCCCTCCCACTCTCTCTAGAAAATCATGGAAAAATGTCCTCAGGTGAGGATTAACAAAAACAAACAAAGAAACAAACAAACAGAACAGCCTGTGTCTGGCTAAGGGTTATTTTGTGCCAGGGGTGCTGTATTACACACAACTGCATTTCTCCGTAAATCGGAATTGTTAGCCTGTGCAGCTTGGCTTTGTCGCGTGTCACTCTAAAGCCATCCTTCCGTTGCAGAGTCGGCTTCCTCCCCTGCCAAGTCCCCTGGCCCCAGCCTTCCTGCGCAGCAGAGCAGCAGGCAGCCGCAGCAGGCGACGAAGCAGGCGACGAAGCAGGTGACGAAGCAGGTGACGAAGCAGGCGACGAAGCCGGTAACGAAGACCTTTCTACCTTTTTTTTCCATTTAAAAATTCTCACCTTTTGGTTTTAGGTCAGGGTGGGGAGCCTATCTCCTGCCAAGGGCCATGTGGATATTTATAGCATCATTTGAGGGCCACACAAAATTATCAAATGAGCCTGCTACATTTGGTCAAACATTTAATTAATTCACCCTGAATGCCTTGGCAGGGCCAGACCAAATGATTTCTTGGGCTTTGTATGGCCCGCGGGCTGGATGTTCCCCACCCCTGTTTTAGGTAAACAATGAGAGAACACGGCCTTTACTCACCTCCAGGTCCACTACCATCCTGGAGGGAACGGGGCCAGGACATGTGGCCTTGCTTGTCCCTTGCAGTGGGTTTGGGGAGGAAAGACCAGAAGTTTAAGCGGGCTTGTAGATCTTGGGGTGTCTGTTGGACATCCCCCGAGAGATGCTGCGTGTGCAGCAGGGTGCACAGCCTGGACTCCCTGGGAGAGGCATGTGTGTTGGTATTGCTGGTTTGAGGGCAATTCTGATGGGTGCCATCCTTCTAAAGGATGTTAACGTCAAGAAAACAGTCGCTTTGGGATCGTGAGAACACAGTATGTTAATTTTCGGACAGAGTCAGCGTCGGTTGGCACACATGAATGACAGTTTATATGCAGAAAATACAGTTCTTTTTATCCAAAATCATACTAGGCAGAATAGAAGTCACAGAACCATTTCTGACCCGTAGAAATACAACCTTAAATGAGAAGCATATTTTTACGACCCTGCGATGGTGTCCCCAGTAAGAATGGATGTTCTCCCCTTTTGGCTGCTGGGAAAGCCGGCCTCACAGACGGGTTTCCACCAGCGCCGCACCAGGGGTGCTGGCCCTGCTCTCTGGAGTTGCTGCCTTCACTTGCTTGGCATAGACACACATTGAGTTCCCAGCAGCATTGAGTTCTCCGCAGCTCCGGCTGTAACAGTCCTTCCTGCAGTTGGGGTGCAGCTCAATCCATACATCTTGCCAGGGCAGGGCTGTGTCTCACAGGCCTTCGGGCCAGGGGAGCTCTGACAGATGCTCACCGCCTATCAGGAGGGCCCAGGCAATGCTTTAGCGGCAGCGACGGCAGCCAGGCGGGAAGACGTATGTGGGGTCTGCGGCACAGAGGAGCCGTGGCTACGTGACAGATCGTGAGCTCAGGCCACTTCCTCAGGCCGGTGCCAGCAAGATGGAGAGATGCCGGGCTTCTCATCAAGGCTGCTCTCTTGATGGTTTAATCTGGTGCTGGGAGGGACGGCTGCGGAGGTGCGGGGGTCCCCTTTCGAAGGGCCAGCCTCTTGACTGTGAAGAATGTTGCCTGTCAACTCCCACGCCTGGACCTGAGTGGGGGTCATGGGGTGATGAAGGGGGTCCCCCACCCAGCGCCAAGCACGGTCACCCCAGAAGACGTTCAAGCCCACCATTGCTTCCGTGGCTTTTCCGTAGTTACCTTTTGTCGCGTGTCTTTCCACCAGGCCAGCCAGAGTGCGGGGGTCTGGGTGGGGGCTGGGAGGCGGGGAGGAGATTCAGAAGAGGGTCCGATCCGAGGGTCCCTCTGAAATATAGATGAGGACAAGGGGGAACCCTAGATGCCTTTGGAAACAGGAATGGAGGGTGACGTTTCGGAACTCTGGATGCCTCTTAAGCTTAAGTGTTGTTTTGAAGATGCACAGAGAGAGAAATTCAAGAAGTTTCTGCTACTTGGACATGCAACCAGCTAAATAATCTATCGGTGGAAACAGAACAGTGGCCTCCGTGCTGGCCCAGAGGGCTGGGGACACCCCGTGTTTCCTAAAGTGTTTGCGAGGCTTATTCGTGGGGAGCCATGCGTGTCGGCCCAGAGCGCTGGGTCCTGAAGGAACAGACAGGATGCAAGGAAGGGGAGCTGGTTTGCCTGGCTGGAAACTTCTGGAGGGCATTTAAATAGCTGGATTTTCCTGCTTAGAGTCAGGGACTCGGGACAGGCAGCTCTGAAGAGGCCCATGTTTGATTGCTAACCACAGGGTGCCTTTGCTGGATGGGCCCAGGTGCTGTGTGCAGGTGCCCTTTGGAGAACTTGGACTTGAGATGTACCATGGACTGTGTTTCTCCTGAGGCACTTACAGGAAAGGGCCAGGCCTAGGAGCATGCCAGCTCCCTCTGTGCCC